AAAAAAAAGGAGACCAAATCGATGCAAGTCCCACTGCGGTTATCACCATGACAGCTGTCAATCTGGGACTGGAAAATCAACAAAAAACCTCCCATTCCCGGTCGGCGAGAAAGTTTTTTGTTTTCCCCATTTAATTGCAAAGGGGTTTCAATTAGCAGGACAAGTGATTTTTTAGCGCCCTCGTACACCATACGATGTCTTAAATTACTCCCCGAAAGTGGCCAGGTAAAAGTCTTACTCGTATCGGGTGTTGGCCCAGAAATTAACAAGCCTTAAACGGCGGCCAGGACAATTACTTTATTTGCGCACTCAATTTATGCTGATTTATGGGAGCGGTTGCTGCAACACTGCGACCCCTGCCAGTCCATTGCATCCATCCCGAAATGTTAATTGCACTAAAATGCAGATTTACCCATTCATGAACAATGGGGGTAGAAATAATAGTACCTTATTTATTTATTTACAAGATACTTTATTCCTGAAATTATTTATAAGCATAGATTTTATTAAATTCTTAAACTCCTACTGCGCAAAAATCTCGTAACCCTTATTACGAATATTTTGTTTAAATATATTTATGCACATGCATTTGGTGTCCAGTTCGGGGGCAGACCTTGGCTGCATTTTGACTGCCAACTGGCGAAAGATAAACAGCGACAGTTTTTCTCCCGATAAAATGGCCAAAAGGTGGAGGCTGGGAAGACGGGGATACATGGGAGGCTGTGGGCTGTTGCCTTGTCTGCCAAACTCATTAAAACGAATCTTTTTTAATGGCCAAAAGTTTGCCTGGTTGCTGCCATAATCAGTAAAATTAAGGCCATGGCAGCTGAAAACTGTTTGCTGCCTGCCAATGTCGTTAGCGTTGGACCGCCAAAAAGTGAGAACAAAAAAATCAGTCATAAAGAACTGATTGTCATGGCTTTTGGAAAGTTGTTAAACTATACCATTGATTTTAATTCTAGCTATTGAAGACTTCAAAGGAAAACCTAATCCACAGAAAGGATGACTTGATATTGTTCTTGAAAATCGAATTACCAGCGGAAACTACTTTAAGAAGTCCTTCAGCTTAAGTTTTATAAAAGAAACCTTTATAAGAATTATTGTCTCGTCATTTCTTGTTACTATAGTAATTATTTTTAAGTCTTTGTTTGACAAATCTAAAACCATTAATGTTAAATCCTTTTCTCAAATTATGAAACCTTTTGCCAAAGCACGTGTTTCTTTTTTCATTCAATTTTCTCCCCTCAGAATGTTAAAAATCTCATTTCGGCCAGCAGGCTGTGGCTTAAAGGCGACAACTTGTGTGTCAAGCGCGCTAAGGCAACGCGGCCAACAACTAACAACTTACTTAAGCCAACTGCCGCAGATGGGGTAGCACTCACACTCGCACAAAAAGGCGATAGATGACGCAGGCATTGCCATTGCCATGTCACACTCGAAAGGCCGAAAAGGCAGTTCCCGGCAACAGATTCAGTTGCAGCTCCACATAAACGTGCTCCGGCGGCTGGAGAGTGTTTTTGGTGTCCCCTCGCTCCTTGGTAATCCCAGTCCTGCCCTTCGGAGACCCTCCCCAGCCAAAACGCTGCACGTGGCCATCGGGCTGCACTCTTGTGCACTAATTACGAAAACTCAGCACGTTTTGCCATGGCCTGGGCTCAGCTTGGCCCGTACTGGCATACTGGCTAACTGGCGGACTGGCTTACTGTCGGTCTGGCGGTCGGGTGTCTGGCTGCTGCCTGTTGGCTCTTGGCTGTTTGGCTGCCTTGTTGCCCGAGTGGTTAAATGCTGTTCTGTGCTGTGCCGCAGTAATAGCAGCAACATGCAACGCGACAGTTGCCTACACCCAGGGGAACTTTGCCACTTGCAGAAAAAAAAGAAACACTGATATTAACACAATGTTAAAAATATGTATTAAAAAGCCTTGACTTTCCTTATTATTCTTTGATTGGTTTTAATTGTCTGTCAATATTAAACTAGTTCTATATCTTTATTTTATTGCAGAGTTTGCAAGCACCACCTCGATAAAGTTTGTTCTAGGATTATTTTCTTAGTCTCGGATAGTCTGGGATAAAATTCTAAAATAAATGCATTTTAAAATAGAAAATATATCTCTGTGCAGCAACACCAGCGAAATTGGTAATGGTGGCGGCGGCACTGCTCCTGCAAAAGTTAAAAACATTGCGGCAAGCAATAAAATCAACATTGGTTTCGGTTTTGGCTTTGACTCTGCCCCGCCGGGCGCTGCACTTACCGACCACCTCCCTTCCACTATGCTTTCCCTTTGGGGCTCCTAGATGGTCCGCTGTGTAACTGTATTACTGATGAGCTCCAAAATCTGCTTGGCGTGCCACAATTTCACCAAAGTCAATGTCTGAGGTTGCAAGTGGACCCGCCAAGCGGAGAGGCAGCCTAGCTGGAGTGGATAAAAATTGCTGAATTAAAGTAATTAAGGAAAATGTAAGCTATTTTGAGGAAACCTTAAAATATAAATATTTGATGATTAAGAAATGAATTAAGGGGCTGTGCGTTCATCTAAGTCAATTTTTAGTAAGCAATTGAAAGAAATGTTTAAAAAATAAATAAATAGGAAGATAAATGCCAGATTTCTCAATCTTTTTCGTAACGCAATAGAAACTAAAAGATTTAAGCAATTCATTACACATAGTGTTCCCCTAAATAAGTGAAATCTTGACACCCTTATATAGTGTTCCTTTAACGCCGATCCGCCAGTATCGAAACTGAGGATTGGCCAACTACATATTTGCAATCTTTACGTCGGCAACACGGCTATAAAAATAAATTACACCGAGCTTAAAACTTATGTGAGGTAGAAAGAAAAATGGCTTATAGACGCGCACTGCAACCAAGAAAAGGAGAAACACCGAATTGAGAGGTAACCTTAAACGAACGACAAAATGACCAATCGACCTTAGATTCTGTTTTGGCCAAGACCAGGCATGTCCTGGCCAGGTCTGGGGGGAGTGGCGTGTGATGAACGTTATTGCTGTTTTGTGTGGTGCTCGCTCAATCCACACGCACGCATCAATACACAATCAATACACCCACGGCTACAAAAAAGGGGGGACTAACGGTAAAGGTAAGGCTCCGAGCCGACAATGAAGACATTAACATGACCAACGACAACAGTCAGCGACAAAACTCTCCGTGCCCCATAGCTCATCACATTAATCTTCTTAATACGCCCATCAATAATTCAAAGCCAAAGGCATGACCAACTGGCCAGTGAGCCGAACGACAACCGACAACCGACAAGCTAAGCCCAAAAACCTAAGGCCCAAAACCTAAACCGAAAACCGGCAACTTGGCCAAGTGAAGAAGTCGCCAATGGACACGCAACCATATCGAATCGAAGCAAAGTGCTGAGTGAATTATGACGCACTGTTCCTTACCGGACCACGTTCGATTCTTTTCGGATGAAGTGGCCACTGGCCATTGGACATGGGCCACCTTCGAAAACAGTTTGTCGTTCATCAAATGCGAACTATACTATAACATACAAATAGTGAGCTCGTTCGTCTGGCATGGCCTGACAATGAAACTTTATGGCTCGTTAGCATTTGATTTATGCGTACTAAAAGTGCTCCAAATGGTGAACGGCGCAAAATGGGGAAAAAATCTGGAAAATCCACAATTCTATATTTAATTGTTTGCCACTTAGATTTAGGTGATGATAATCCCAGCTTGGCTAATTTGAGCAAAGATTGCACATGTTTCTTGACACTTGACTCGCTCAGAGATAGTGGACAAGGCCCGAGAATAATATTGACATAGGCCCCGCTCAATAAGCAATCAAATTTCAATTTTCATAGAACTTTGTAAATATCAACAAGTTTCTGAGAGATAATATATACTCGTAAATTGTTAAAAAAAAAAAAAATATTAAAATGAAAACAATAATTATTTCTTTGTTTTATTTATGATATTCATATATTCATCCTTTGCTTAGTGAAAGTAAACGTTCAGCGGTTTCTTTCACTGCACTTTGCACCCACATTTCCCATCTTGCAACTATCGAAAATTGGAAACGTAATTGTATATGAATGACATATGCTGAACACACAAAAGAGCTGGAGTACTGTCGTTCCCGTTCCCATTGTGCTCCTGAAAGTGACAGGCGCCCCCAATCCCTGGGTCCATTGTTGGGCCTGGACAATGCCAAAAGCGCCACCCGCCTCTCCAGCACCTGTGGGTCCACCTGTCCCCATGACAATTTGATGTCAGTTGCTTGGCTTGGAATTTTGCGATGCGATCGAGGTCGACGCTGCCATCGCCATCGACAGACTCATACCCATCGCAGGTTTTTCACGCCTACTTCGGCGTTTATTCGACCCCATGCAAATGGCCTTTGTTCCGCTCGCGTTCCTGTCGCGCGAATTGTTGCCAACTTCCTTTTGTTGATGAAGATAGGCATCCAGTGGGCCGAATGTGTCAAGCCTTCCATGCATCGTCGAATGCTTCTTATCAGCGAAAGCTTAAATGCCACTAATTGTGTCAAAGGTTCGCTGTATGTGTTTTTCTGATGCGGATTATTGCAACGCTACAATCTGGCGGCTATAAAAACCCCAGTCGGATTTCAAAACAATTTAGTTTGCTGTAAAAAATTAAGTCTATATAGTAAGTTGCAAGTGCTTAAAATTCTCAAAAGAACAGGAAAAAAAAGGATATTTACATATTTTTAGACAAATTCAAATAAATGAGTCGCGGACTCTTTACTAGGGCTAAGTGAAAAATAGACCTCGTTCTTTTCAACCTAAAGAAACTAAATTAAATAAATACATATCGGAAAAACCGTGTTCCTTAAAAATGTTTACATAAAGTATTTTTCTTTAAGTTTTGAACTTTAAGACTGAGAGTTGAGCATGTCGGTTTCTTAATCAAACTTAAAAAAAAAAAAAAGTTACATAGTTAAAATAATTTCTAAATAGTGTAGGATGAATTGAATTTTAAATACAAGTAAATAATAATGTTATTTGTATTTCATTTTCAGCCACAAATCAAAATGCATTTCTCCTGGCTATCTGTCTTCATCTTGGCCATAATTGCTGTGGCTGTTTCCGCTGGACAATGTAATGCTCCATTTAAGAAGGAAGGACCTAACTGCGTTGTCGAACGTATCATTCACGGAGACTGCCCAGCTGGATCGCAATACAGTGTCAACATCAACAAATGTGTTTATAAAAATTAAAACAAAACGTGTAAATTTAAATATAAAGTAAAATGGAAACTAATTAAAAGAAAAGTGTTTGTATTTGTTTTTAATAAGCTTTAAGTGGGCCGACTATGTCAATGCTTCGATGCAGAGCCGACTGCTTATCAGCGAAAGACAACATTTGTTGCTTTTAAAGCTTTTAAAGGTCACTGGTTTGGGTATTTCTGATTAGGATTTTGGGAGCAACGAATGGTCGCCTATAAAAACCCCAGCCTGTTTCCCAAAAAATTTAGTTTGCTCTTAAAAGTGAAGACTAAACAGTAAGTGTTAAACTTAAAAATTGTTGAATTTGTTGAAATTCTTCGAAGAATATAACAAAAATATTAGTGAATTTATAGACACAAATTTTCGTAACTCGTTGGTTGTGCTTATTAAAAAAATAATACTTTTTTTGTGTGATTGACAAAGCTAAAAATACATATAAATCTAAAAACTCAATATTCACTAAAAAATAAATACTATTCTTTCTTTTTCAATTTTTTTTAAAAAACTTTCCATCCAGCTCATCTTTTAATTGAATTTACGAAGTATTTGATAAATATATCTACTGAAATATTGGTAGACTATGAAAGATTATTTTAATGAACTTTTCAATTTTTTTAAATCAACTTAAAAACATAATTTTTAAAGTTAAATTATTAAAATTAACTTACAATAGCCAGTGGAAAATTCAATTTTATATACGAGTATCACAATTAATTATATGTTTTTTACTTTCAGCTACAAATCAAAATGAACTTCTCTTGGCTTTCGGTCTTCATCTTGGCCATCATTGCTGTGGCTGTTTCGGCCGGACAATGTAAGGCTCCATTTAAGAAGGAGGGACCTAGCTGTGTTGCCAATCGAACCATTCGCGGAGAATGCCCAGCAGGATCGCAATACAGTGCCAAAATCAACAAATGTGTTCAGAAAAATTAAAACTAAATGTGTTAAAATAAAGATTAAGTAATATGGCAACTAATTAGAAGAAAAACTGTTTTATTTTACTTCTTATTAAATGCGGTAGGTTAAGGTTAAAATTGGATATTCACAGCGTAATAGTTTGATTTTAATCAAATCTATGCTTTCTTTCTTTTGGAAAGAAACTCGTTTTTCATCTAGGTTTTGGCATTTAATTTCCTTGGATTGGACTTCAACGTTTGCCCTTAAGCCCAACGCCATTTTCGAATTAACTTCATTTTCGGCCAATTATATTTGGCGTGTTGTGCTGGCCATGGGAAGTTCAACAAGTGTTGAACCTAAACGAGCATGAGTGAGGACCAAAACTGACGAGGCTGATGATGATGGTGAATGACGTCGTCGCCAGGCGGGCATGATGCCCATTAGTTTATTACCATGTAATTGACTCAACGCTTGTCAGACGTCAGCGGTGTTGGCTCCTGCGGCTTTAATGTGCTGCATTTAATGCCCCAGCCGACACCGAAGCGCCGACATCAAATCAGCACCACTGAATGCCAAACCAGCAACAAAAACAGCTCGTCAAAGTCAAGCTGATTGTCTCTCAGATCGTACTATGCTATACATGTATATAAATTTATATATACATACATATATGTTTGGGGGTTTGACTGTCTGCGATTAGTTTGATTGGACTTCCCGCACCTTTGGCCGCCTCTTATCTTGAGCTAGAGTTTCGTAAGCACCGCTCCCGGATTGAATCGTCTCACCGCCTAAAACTGCCTAACACCGCAGCCTGCTATAAAATTCATTAAAAACTTTGCCCGACCGCCTCGAAATGCACAAAAAACGAAGGCTAAGACATAAAAACGTAGAAAACATTTAACAGTGGCAAAAACTTTGGCAAGTCCAAGCTGTCGACAGGATGTGCAGCAAACCCAATTGCATATGCCAATGTAACAAAGTTTTCCACAGCAAAATGTCCCACGCCCTAATAGTGATGCCAAATAAACGAGCTCAAGGCTTTTGATTTTTATGGAATTTTATATATTTTCATATAGTTTTAATTTATGTATTTTCGAAAGTTTAAAGTTAATCTGACTTTTAATAAGACTTTTAATAAGTTAATACTACTTATAAGATCTATGCATTTCGAAACATTGTATCAGAAATAATAGGTATCCTTCTTAAAATTTTATTAAGCAGGCGAGGAATTAAATAAGAGTAAGGTGGAAACATTTTAAACCTTAAACTTTACAATAGTAATGACTCGATTTCAGAGATTTCTTTTGACATTTATTTCTGCATTCATTTTAATTTTTAGCTTTACTTATCTATTAGTTGCCAAATGGTCATTCCTGCAGCAGCTGCGCGTCCATAAACTAACCGTCCTTGTCACTGGGGCTTGTAAATTTCTATGACTTGCATAAAAAAGGGCCCTCCCTAGAATGCTTTCCGCTGCTCTGGGTTTCCTTTTTGGTCTAAAAGTTTCCTGTAGCAAAAGTCGGCCGTCCGGACAGCGGACACGGGACAAAGGACATCGGACGGGCAGGAAATAAGGAAATGTTTTCAGTCGTATTTGCTGCCTTAGCAGCGACATTTATCAGTCAGTTGTTGCAATGTCCTTTGGGCCGATGGTCTGCATTTTGAGGTGCAGAATGGGTGGCCGAATGGCTGGTGTTGGGCGGTATGCGGGTGTGGGAATGTCTTGTTGGACAATTTTCAAAAGCAGTCTCAAGTGGCTGCCGCCGGGAGCCATGCAGCTGACAGCAATCGCTGCAGTTTGCTGCAGTTTTCGGCACTTGTATTCGCCATGCAGTATCTGGTATCTGGTATCTCTGGTCTCTGGCTGCCGAAAAAGTTCCTTCAGCAAACTCTCGCGTAAATATGATGAACGTAAGCAGTAAAGTTCTGGCCAACTGATAGCCGAACGCTCCTACTTGGCCATCTTATAAACACAAGCTGGCCCTAAAAAACTTTTGCAACCCAGCAAGGACTCCTCTGGTGACGGCTCAACTTTATGGGGGCCACATAGTTGCGGTTTGGCTGCACTTTCAGAAACACGCAAAGAAAAAAAATAAATACAAACGATTTTAAAAACAACTTTTTTTGCACCAATAGTGGGTAGATGAGCTAAAGCTAAAATGTATCTTTGATGAGGCTTCAAAGAAAAATTGTATATCAAGTATACGCAAGTATATGTATTTTTCCGTGCAGTTTCCTTCCTATAGTTTTTCTTATCGTTTTGAGGCAATGTCCACACCACCCCTTCACCCTGAAAAAAATGAAAGTGTTGCCATAATTTTTGAGCTTGCCTAGCCAAGAGTGTGTTGCTGTTGTGGTCGGTCGGTTGTTGGCTAAAACTTTGCCGTTATTGATGCTGGCCAAAAAGAGTGCTGACGAGGCTAGCCAAGGCGTCGGAGAATGGAGGCTACTTTTGAAATAGTTTAAATGCACATTTACAGACTTTTCTGGCCTCCTCGGCCCACGGCCATTGTTTTGCATATGGAGTGATAATGGTTGCGGTCAGGATGATTAAACCCACAATAAGCCTTTTCCAAAGCTCTTTTGATAGGCAAATTGAGAAGCTATTTAAATTTTATATCCGTTTTTAAGTTTCTAAGCCGCTTTTTACAGAGATTAAGTCCAACTTTATATAATCTGAGATTAAACATGATTTATGTGCATCAAAAAGGAAAGAGAGCTTAAAATATGTAAATAATTCCAAACATTTTATTGGCCTATTAAATGGAAATAAAAAGCTGCCTAATTAAGTACATTTAATGTCATAATTAGCAAACTTTTTATGTTCTGTGTAAATATGAATAATATTTATTAGTACCAGCTTTGATTTTTATTCTCAGAATCATATAACAGAGTGTAACTTTTCTTTTGAGTTACATCCAAGTATTCCTGCATGCCTCTCGGCCATGTTTGTCTGCTCGTTCGGTTCGTGCTTGCCACTTTTATCCTAAAACTAAAAACAAGATGGCGGTCGCATCCTGTCCTTGCGTTGTGAGTCTCTGTGTATAAGTGTGTGTGAGCCCCATAGGCATAAAAACTTTAATTTGAGTTATTTCCATGAGTAGTACTCGCAGTTGAAATTATATTATAATTCTAACAGCGAAGTAAAAACAAAAACTTTATCAGTGATAAGGGGACACAGACGTTTCGGAGGCTATGGAGGAAAAGTCACCATTTCTCTCTCCTTGTGTTACCGTGTTTTTGTCCCACTTCCCCATGCTCTATTTATCTGCTTGAAATGCTTTTAATGCGAAACTTCAAACCGTAAAACGAAAACTAAATCGGGAGTTGAAACATATGTGCCATGAATGCAAAAACGATGTCTATGCATGTGGTTATGTGTTTGAACGCATGTGTGTGCGAGTGTGCGGTTTTGTGGGCCAAAAGTTTTGTTAGCCAACAAGAACGACAAGACCAATAAGCATCGCGGCAAAATTTTGCCAACTATGCCACGAAAATGTCCGCTTGTTTCCAGCAACCGATGAATTTTGAAGCACTATACTTTGCAACACCTGAACGAAGTTGCCAAAATATATATGATTGCCAAAAACTTGTCCGATCAAATGCAGCGTTATAGCTTGACTTGATATTTAGATTTAAAATTTCGATATATTTTATTGCTCGAACAAAATGTTTGCAATTTTTGCCAACCATTACCGGACATTGTTCAGATAATGACATAAAGCTTAAAATGCTTGAGCTAAGCTGCAGTATTTAGTCGTTTTGTAAGCTGTGAGGATTTTATGGCTATCCCTTGCCCTCTCTAGGTTATCACCACAGTAATATAGGGACAATGTCGCCTTTGCCCTTGGCTGTATCCTACCCTAATCCGACAAGCCACCAGCCAGTTGGTTTTTAATTGCTTTTCAGTTATTTTATTATTTCAGCCGTTAGCTGAACTTCAAATTTCTTTTGCACTTCATGCAGCATTCTTTCCCCTCCTTCACCCTTATTTTGCAGAATTTTATAGAAACTTATTTTAGCTTAAGTTTTTATCTTTATTTCTTGCTCAACGGATGAAAAAGCAAATATGTTGGAAGGGTAAAAAAAAACTCAAAAAAAAAAAAATCCTGAACGAGTGCAAGGCGAAAAGCAAAACTTTTTATTTGCTGTGACAAATTTTGAGCAGATAAAGCATGGCGAAACTTTGGAGCATGGGGTTGTGGCTTTTCCACCCACTTTCACCCAACGTGCACCTTTCTCTTCCGTAAATTAAGAAATTTTTGGCAGAACTAATGTCCCGCATTAGTCAAATGTCAAAATTGTTTGCGACTGAGGGTGGTTTGAGTTGGTCTGGTTTCAGCTAAGGCGTCTTGGAGAAAATGTGAAAAGTAGTCAGAAAAATGATTAAAAAAAAGCATTGTATCATAATAGAAGTAATTAAAAAGGAAATCATATTTATTAAATTAAAAAAGCCTTGAGTCAAATATTAAAAAGAAAACAACTAAAAGAAGCAAAAAGCTATTTTCGCCCAACGTGGGGCTCGAACCCACGACCCTGAGATTAAGAGTCTCATGCTCTACCGACTGAGCTAGCCGGGCCTTATTTTTACCTGCGGCAAAAAGCGTGCTGTAGGAATTTGGTTACATTTTTATAGATATTATTTTTAAATCGAGAAAAGTGCGTTTTCCAATATATTTTACACAATATATATATAATTATATACAGAGAAAGATTCTACAAAAATTGTATTTTTTTGTTTCTAAATTTAGCTTTTGTTTGGATAATCTTAAGATAAAGGTATATTTTTATCAATTTATTGTTAAAAATTTAATTCAATTACTTGCAGTTAGCATTTCAATTTGGAAAGCCAGCCTTTAGTTCATAAATCTCTTGGGAATTGTACTTACGGCTCTGAATCATTTGCCATAAATTACTCATACGCCCACGAGCCCACCTTGCAAAGGCCATTGAAAAGCCGGAAGTTGCTTAGGAAGCAAATATATTGTTCATCCATCAAAGAGCGAGGGGTCTCGGGTAATAGCAGCTAACAAACTCGCAATTGAAAAACCGCAACTACGGTCTGAA